TAATGCAAGCATGTGGGATAAACAGTAGCGAAATGCTCTTAAGGGTGAACTTGACATTCTGTGGACTTCTGTTTCATGGTCAAAACATCTCCTCAAAAGTCGTTGTTGGCATGGTTTCAGAAGAACAATAGTCCTTCAAAAATGGATTGCAAACTCTCATTCAAATCAAGTTCTATTTTGTTATGCAGTTTAAAAATAGAACTTGATTTGAATGAGAGTTTGAATGAGAGAAATCTACACTGATAAAATAAAGCCCCAACCTTTTTATCTATGAATGTTTGTTTCATTTTAAAATGTCATTAGTGTAGCTAATATACTTTATGTAACTATTGGTTACAAACTACCTCTAAAAAAACTTACTAAGGTGTTCTATACTAGCACGTTATTTTCAAGCAGCGAGAAACTGCTCCAACCGATTCAGTGTGCGAGAGAACTGTTTGAATAGTTTGAACTGAATCGCGAACCGATTCAGACACTTTTACTATTGAACAATTAACCCTCTTGTTCGGTCATTTTAGACCGGAAAAAAAAGTTTTGATTCATATATGAACTAGTGTGACTGTAAAACACAGCATGTTTTTGCAAATACTTGAAATAAAATCTACACATCCACAATGGAGTAAAAACACAAACACCAAAGGAGTGAGTACTCTAAAACGCCAAGAGTACAAAACAGACACACACACACACACAAAACACACTATTAAACACATACAAATGAACTGGTGTGGCTGTAACAATATGGCAAAATTGAACCAGAAGACTCAAATAAGAGGTTGTTATCAGATTGATTAACCTCTGATAAAGCATTCCTGTTCATATTTGTTACATTTTTGTTGAACTTTGATGTTACTGTATGTGTAATACAATGACTTTCTTTGTGTTCAAGTTTGACTGTAAAATTACAGTTTTTCTGAATTGCTAAAACACTAATTGCTAATTGTTGGAAAAGTTTAATTTTAGTGTGTAAGCCAGGTGACTGAATGATGATACGAACAATAGATGGAAACAATCTGACAAGGAGAGGAGGAAGAGTACATGTACGAAGTGGAGGATGAGGAGAGAAAGAGTAAGGTTTACTGTAAAGAGTGTTATCAAGGCTGGATCTGTCAGACCAGAGGGTTTTTTTCTCTTTGTCTAGCAAAAAAGACTACATCACTTGTGATATGGACAAAGTCCTCAGGCCGGACTCAAGCACAAAGACATGATGCTGAAGTGTTTTCAGGTGTGTGTCTAAGTGTTTTCAATCACTCAATGTGTTTTGTATTTTGAATAGATGTGTTTTCCCAATGGTACCCATGAGATTTCATTTATGAACGAAGTGTCTTATGTATGAAATAGTGTGTAGTGTGCAGGAGCAAGTGTGTTACAGAATTGCAACTGAAGTGCACAGCAGCGCTTTTGTTTAAGGTATGGTTACACTGTGTTTAAAGTATAGTAACAAAAGCTTCAAGTTTTGTTACTTTGGTCTAAGCATGTGTCTATAGTGTTCAAGCAATAGGCAAAAACTGTATTATAATTTTTTATAGAATTGCTAAATTGTTTACTCAATACAATATGCTTTTTTCTGTAATGTTCTGGATGCTGTGTTCTCCATAGCCCTGTTTGATTTTGAGTGCAAGTGAAATGGTTTTGCAGTGATTGTTTGATTTTGATGAAAGAGTCAGAGGTTTCGTGAATTTAGTTTGAGTATTTGGATTTGTGTTTAAGGTTATGAGAAAATGAGTGATGATCTCAAGAATGTGTTTTAGCAATTCGGGAAAACTGTAAGAGAAAAACTGACATTTCAAACGAACATTTCAAACAAAAAATCTAATCCTTTACAAAAAGTTGTCTTTGAGAATGTCTAAATATAATCCAAATAAATCCACAACTTAAAAAAAGAGTATTTATGTCTAAAAACAACTAGAGAATGTATAAGCCTTTTATATAGAGACTTATAGAGGATAGGAATCTAGTGGCTAAACCACTGAATTTCAGACGTTTTTTTCTTTTTTTACTCCCACCAGATGGAACTAATCTGCCTTAAAAAATTTGATTTTAAAGGCATTGTCTCTATTTTAACATGAAATACTGCCATAATTGAAAAGTAATAGAAAAATATTAGAAAATGTTTTTGTATTATTTTCAATGGGAAAAATTGATCAGAATTATTGCATACATATTAAATAGTACCATGAAATTCTCTCAAAATACAACATAAAAAAGAAAAAATAATATTATCGAACATAAATATATTACATTGATTTCACGGAGAAAAAAAAATCATTTCAGGTGTCCGGTCAATTTTGACCACGAACAACACAAGTGTGACTCCCAAATGAACAATACCAGAGGGTTAATGGAAAGGAGTCAAAAGAGTGATTAATTCATGAATTAGGTATAACTTGTTCTGATTCTATACAAGAGATCGAAAATACAACACTGAAACAGTAGTAAAGTTTTTTTTTGTCCCAGTGAAAAATAGCACCCAAGACGCTCTACATATGCTCTCGCTCTAAACTCCTACTGTAGGCTAACAAAATAGGTCTTCTCAACCAATTACAGTGGTATGCTACTAGACTAAGCTGTTGACTTGCTAACTCAATAGAAAAAGAAAGGGAAATGTTTAATGTTTGTGATATGTAATTGAAAAAAATATATATTAATTCACATTTTCATTATTAAGAATGAATGAATGAATACCTGGGCCACTGGAAAGCTTTTATTGGGAAAGGGAAATATGACTTTGTGTGCTATTGTTTCTCAATGACAACGTTATCCAAGTTCCCCTGTTTACACCTGGTATTAAGATGGGTTTTGGATCTCTTTTATCCACTTTCGACTACTTTCTTGTATTCTTTGAGTGGAAGGTCTATAGGCGAGTGGTCAATTAGTATTTCTGGTGTACAGAATTCTCACTTTTTCACTTTTACTTTTCACTTTTTACATCTTGGTGACATTTACTTTATAAAGAATTTAAGTATTTTACCAAAACTTTCTAACTTTCTGAGTTGAGATTTCTAGAAAGGTTCCCATATTTCAGTTATTCACTTCATATTGTCTGTACAGTGTTAGCCCAGAAGCATAGATATAGCATTAGCATGCATACAGAACATTGTTGACATGATTGACAGTTTCCTGTCATGAGAAGAAAGTGAAGTGGGGAGAGACAGAGAGAGAGAAAGTGAGCGAGAGAAAGACAGTGGAGTGTGAGTGAGAGAGAGCAGATGGATAGATGTTAGTGTTGAAACTGTGGTCTCACCTGAAGGCTGCAGGTACAGCCTCTCTCTAAACCCTCTAAACCTCAATAACATCATACTTGTTTGTCTCGTGCTTTGGAAAAATAACTTTATCAACACCACAAAGAAAAACACACAACCACATTTTCAAAAAATTGCAATGAATGTAGAGGATTAATATTATTAATATATATAAATTGCAACTGTGTGTGTGTGTGTGTGTGATTTTAAGATTCATGATGACCTGTATTTTTTATACAGTTTAATACTGTGTACATGCATTGTAAGTCTTGTAACACCATCATATACTGTATCTTGTTGTGAAGACAAAAACAATCAATCTGCAATTCTGAAACAATTTATAAATATTTGTGTCACTGACGTTGTCAGCCTTTTCCTGCATTTGCATAACTCTGTACTACTGTTGTGGTTATGATTATATGTCATTGCAGTTGACACTGCATGCATGGTCTAATTCTGTATTTAATACCATCTAAATCTGCTTTGTCACTGTTATACCAATACTACCACAATGCAAGGTGTATGCCAACCAGACCTTTTTTCATTATTCAACATTTTCTCAATCCACACCAGCCATAACAGTCATAATGAAAACATGGCAGTGCAGAGAAGCCACATTCAGAAACATTTCTCTTGCCACAGAAAATACGTTACACACTGATAAAAACACCATGTGGCTTCTGCTGGGGTTTAGAGAAAAACAAGACTTGGAGGTAATCAATGATATACAGTAGTCAACATTTGAAGTGGATCAAAAAAGTTCATCAAAGTTGTCCTAAGACAAGAACGGGTATTGTTTTGGTTTTAGGACAACTTTGATGAAAGGTTTTGATCCACTTCAAATGTTGACTACTGTATTCCCAGAATCTGTATGGGAGATATCAAGTTTGTTTGCAAAATGCTTTAAGTTGATTAAATTGTTGTTGTCCTCAGAACAGTTAGCAGACCACTTTTCTAATACCTCTATGGTGCTTTTTTGTAATTTTGTAGCTTGACAGATATGGTCACCATTCACTTTGCTATATTGAAAATAGTGGCCAGGATATTAAAAAATATTCAAGAATGTCATACGCTTTGGAATGATATGAGGGAAAGTAAATTATGACAGAATTCTTTTCAGACATGAAACACATTTGTTTTACTATTTTTACATTCCTGCTGTTGAATCCTGATTTATCCCAATAAATTATCTTTAGAACTAAGCAGGAGTTTTAGCTTTATTACAGAGTCTATCAGCAGCTGTATTTGCGCAATCCCTTCTTCAGATTTTTTTTGTTTGTTTTGTTTTTTGCGGTTGTGCCTTGTGGTACACGATCTATGTTTGTACAGGTGTAAATTAACCAATGCCAGTGCCCTGGAGTGCCCCTGATCTGGTGCAAAGTCTATTATTTCCACTTCCAAGTGAATGACTTAACCACAGTAGTGACCATTAAATTGCTTGTCCATTACTGATCACATCAAGTCTGTATTATACCTTTTGTACTGTCCTATTTGGCACATCAACTTTAGGCAGTTTTCAACTCTTTTCTTTTAATAATAAAACTGTCTTGCATACTTTTTTATCATGCACGCCTTCATCACTTACATCTGCTACTAAATATAAATGATTTTTTTTTTTTTTACCTATGATCTAAACACAGACTGAAATAATAATGTAGACAATTTTGATTGTCCAACAGTTCTTTCACAATCAACCACAAGCTGTAATTTTGCACATAACTGTAATTTTATGAAAAGAAAATCTGAACTCATGTCATTTTTACTTTATTTTATAATACAAAATTAAATCCATTACACTTAACATATTCACAAAATCTATTTACACTTTACAATATTTTTGCAACATGTTTACTAGAAAAGTATGAAAATCATAATAGTACCTACAGCATACATTACACTGCTCTAACTGGAATCATCCTTCTCAAAATGGTGGTTAAATGCTTAAAAATCTTCACAATCTCCCATCATGTACTGCCAGAGAACTATAAATGAATAATACTATCATAAAGCACATTTCAAAGGCCTTGCCCAAAAATATTTGCAGTTATATGGACCTATAACTCTAAAAATGACACACTCTGAAGATGTAGACAAAGTTTTTTAAAAGGTTGTCAATACTGTAGGCTGGTCTATAAAGAAAAAACAGGGGTGGTGTCGGTGTCAGACATAACAGAGGGCCTCTTGGGAACTTGTTGCAGTTTGCTGTTGTCGACCAGTCCCAGGCCACAGGACATGCGCTGAAGCAGGCTGAAAAGATCCTTCCGAAAGCGAACGCCAATAAATACGTAAAGGATGGGATTCAGACAACAGTGTGTGTAGGCAAGACACTTCACTATTTGTCCAGCCATATCTAAGCTTTGCATGACTTCACAGTTCGTTATTGTGGCATTGTTGGCTTGGCCTGCTTCTATAATCAGATATCCATTGAATGGCAACTGTGAGAGAATAAAAGTGGCCACAACTGCAAAAATGACCCTTAGAGCCTTGTGTTTTTCAAAGCTTCGAGCCTGCATGAGTTTACGAATAATGACTGAGTAACACAACACAATGACAAGCAATGGAAGTAGGAAGCCGACACAGATCTGTAAAGCTAACACCAAGACTTTGGTACGATTGTTGTCTGTGATCGAGTACACCATGACACAGGAAGTGCTCTGGGAGTCAATGTTTTTTACTTTAGCGAAGAGAAATTCTGGTAGAGCTAAGAGGCAAGAGGCAAGCCACACAAAAACACAAGTTATCTTACTATACAGCATTCGTTTGTTTTTGTAGTTGTGTGCTTCGGTTACATGAACAATAGCAATGTAGCGGTCCACACTAATGCAGGTGAGTAAGAGCATGCTAGCGAAGAAGTTGATCTTGTAGACCGCAGAAACTCCTTTGCAAATGGCCTGGTTGAACACCCAGCCCTGAGCAGCATTTGTTGCCCAGAAGGGCAATGTGCCTAGGAACAGAAGATCAGCCACTGCCAGATTCAGCAGGTACACATCAGTCATGGTCTTGAGGCGGTTACGCACAGTTGTGAAGATGCAGACAACAAGTAAGTTGCCCAAAGCCCCCACAACAAAGATGATCCAGTAGAGAGGGGGCTCGAAGGTCTTACTGAACTGTCGCACCAACTCTTTGTTACATAATCCACCCAGGTCCGATTCATAGTCATCAGTATCAGTTGTCTGAAATGAAAAAAAATGTTGATATGTTCAGGCACTTCGAATTCTGTGAAATGACCATTTCAGTTGATTTATAAATTTACTTCTTGAAAACCAAATGTACCAATCATCTAAAGGAATATTATTTATTGCGTGGAGCACAAAAGGAGAAGTTTTGAGGAACATGCTGGCCTGTATTCCATGTAATGATAGTGATTGGGGATTTGGACTGTCAAGCTCCAATATGACTAAGAATCAGAAAAAAATATCATAAAATGTTCATATGACATTTGCACTATATTCTGTACATTTTTTGTGCTAGTCTTCTCAAGATTAAAACTTCTAACATCACAGCTGGTCACCTTCCATTGACATTACAATGTTATTGCCATCAAAACTGATGTGTCATGTCTAAAGTCGCCATACATACAGTTATATGGCTTCATAAAATGAAGTTACAAACATAGGTTTGGGGGGAGCCTAATCATTCAGTCTTGTCAATTATCGCTATGAGCGCATGTAAGCGGCAGTCATTGCACCATCCCAGCAACAATTCTTCCGGCATCCCTCCACCTCCCCTTCTCTTCCTCTATTTCCTTTATTTTTCCTTCACATCATACAATCATGGAGTGGGGGTGGGGGGTTCCTAACTCGGAGCTCAAACCAAGCCTCGGGTTCGAGGACAGCAAGCCAAGTTTGTTTACCATTATCTAGGAGGACTGAAAGGGGCAGGTGAACTTGTGAAACTTGCAATATTGAGCATGAGTCATGTGGACCACTTGACACTTTATATATATTTTTTATCATTTTGGCACTTGGCAGCACTCTGTAATTTACATTCTATGGTAAAGAGTGGCCTGTGCATTCTTCAAAATATCTTCTTTCATGTTCAACAGATGAAAGAAAGTCATATGTGTTTGGAAAAACATGAGGTTGAGTAAATAATTTTTGGGTTAAATATTCCTTTAAATTCTCTTACTAGCATTTCATTTCAATTCTGTATACCATGGCAGTTTGATGATTTCATTTCACTGAAATTAGATCCTCACTTGTCAAAATGCTGACTATGAAATTTAGAAGTTTGTTTCCCACTGTCTTTTCAGACAATCTTATACTCAACTGACAACCATTTCCTGTCTGCTGTAGTACAACAGTCTCTCGACATTTTGGAGCTGTAATCCAGTTGATCAGTGAAATATGACTCTGTGTGACATCACACCCCAGTAAGCTCTGACAATCTAAATTTATGAAACGCTCCACAGCTTAGCTCAGGTGCAGGTGTCTCTAGTGGAGAAACCGCACAAGTACACCGCATCCACATCCTCTTTCAACCCTTTCTAAAGCGTGCACAAACAGATAGAGCGTCAGCCCCTCCCCCCAGGTGTCTTCATACTTAGACCCCTTTGGAGCATGTCAAACGCTAAATGCTGTTCCATATTGACATACATACATGACAGATAGAGGATATGTGACGCACACAGTGGAAAATCTTTTCATTGTGTTGTTTTAAAAAAAAATCTGAAATGTGGAAACAGTCAAATATTTCTGTATGATCTTAATCCAAGAGGTGCATGAGATGTCAAGATAAAGATAAGTATAGTTTTACTTGACTGACAATACATTTTCAGAAAAAGACATCTGATGTCCAAACAAGCATACAGCACTAACAGAAACAGAACTTAACGACTGCTTACTGGTAAGATTTGCTGTGGGCAGCATTTTAATGTTGAACAGTTGTGTTATGACAAAAAGCATGATGACATATTTCAGAACTTTTAAGTTAAAGGCGTTACTAATGCAAAATGTGACTACATAGACAGTATACTATATGTCATTCAGCTTTAACTCAGATTTCTAATATGCAAAACAGAAGACTTTTAAACCAGAATTTTGGACTCCACAAAATATAATATCATATATAAATATAATAATACTCACCAAGTCTGTAAAATCTGTGAAATTAAAAGCATCACTTTCATCTATTAAGAGACAAAACGTGTAATTAGTGCAAAATATCATATGGAAGAGTGCAGCAACATGAAACAGTGATAAACAGTCAATTCAAAGCCTTTCAGAAAAATTTTAATATTCTTGTTGGAAGCCCGGAATCATTCAGGTAAACACAGATTGAGTCCTTTTTGTTACTTAAATGATTCAATTAATTTAAATCATGTGATTCATTCAATCAACTCACAGTGAACATGACTAATATACCTATCAATTTATAACTCCAGTCTTTTAAATGGTTGTTTATTGTTTACACAGTCATATTAAATGGAATACAATTTTTCATGATTTGTTATACTTACAGTCTGAGGTTGTAAAGACATCCATGTTCTGTCTCTCAGGAGACACAACAGATAACCAAGAGTATAACAACAGTTCAGTGATGAATAAGCTTCCCCCATTGACTTTAACTAGTTATAAGAAACAAACAAAGTCACGTGTCTGAGAATAGTAACGTCAGCCCCTGTATTTGACAGTTCTGCATCTACGATGTACAAAAAAAAAATCCATTTTGGGTGGAGTCTGTAGATATCCATTGCCTTCTGCTCCGAACTGTTTCCGTCCTCTCTAATATGACTGAAGCTGCTTTGTGGAGATGTGGGTTGTTATGACTCAAAAGATGAAACCCTCTGGCTTGCTGCTGCTTTCACCATGCACTGTAAGAAAAAGTTCATAGAAGTGTTTAATGAAAATTAAAATGAAGGTGCCAACTTGCATGACATTTCTGAATTTAATTAATCAACATAATTATTCAAATATGTTTTGACTGAAATAAAATTATTACCTATTCAGATTAAGTGATTTTAAGATTATTTATAAGAAGTATATTTCTACTGTTTTGAGTAAAATGTTGTAAATGTTTACATTTATGTGGAGCAAAATGCTTGTTTTATACTGTTGACAACATCGCATGAACGTGTGTGAGATAAATAAATAAACACTCACACATAAAATACAAGACTTGGTACATTAAACACAACAAGGGTAACAAATGGATAAACAAAAGGGTAAATGATCATTTAAACAGAGGAACAAGCCCATCTTTATATCACAAAAAAATACATTACTAAATGTAAGAACAAAATCATTGACAACCATGTAAATAAAACTGACAATGTAACCATATTTGATTGGAAAAGAGCAAATGGGACGGAATCACAAACTTATTTTTTGTAGGTCTGTTTGAACTCAAAAATGTAAACTCACCTGTAATGCTTGTATATTCAATATAATTTAACATAGGAATGCTGGGACTTGCAGGATCTTAAGAGGAGGAAAAGAAAAAAACAGAATCAAAAATAACATGAAAGAAATAAACAAAAATGTTAGATGAGGAGGGTGTGACTAACTTTTTTTACTATCATGAAATACCAGAATTGTGTTTTGATTGAACATTCTTTAGAACTAAACATATCTCCAAGCATTGAATACCCATTTACTGTCACATCTAACAGTCTAAAATAAAAAACTGTGACATGAGCTGTCCAGTGGTGGTCATGTTGTCGCATTATATTGGGAAACTCTGAGTTTTCGGTTTCAGAACAGCTGAATTGAGTTAGTTCAATCAACTCTGGTTTTTCCAAAAAAAAATTTGGAAAAACCCAATTAGGCTTTCAGGCCCTCTAGGCCATGTTTACTTCCTCTTTCTCTCTTTCTTCTCTGAACTTTGAATTTTTCTTAGTTCCTTTTACATGTTAACCCCTCACAAATAGCTGGCTTAATCCTGTCATGGGACACAGCACTTCTGAAGGAAAAACTTGATGAAAGATCTTTACTCAACTCAACTCTTGGTTAAATTGGGCAAACTGATTTCACAAATGAGTCACTGGTATATGTTGATGAGCACTGCACTGTTGTAAGAATATTGCAACATTGTTAGTTATGATCTTAAAATCATAAAATGACTTTTGTTTGGTGTAATTTAATGTTGTCAAATTAATTCTGTCATATTATTATTTATTTTATTTTTTTTACTTTTACAAGTTCATTTAGATGTTTCTACATGAAGCACATTTTTGGTTAACATAACATTTTTACGACATGCAAATTAAATTTGTCAGAACAATAGCCTTAGTTAACAGGTGTACAAATGTCGTCTTGGGCTGTCACTTTTCTTGAGAAACAGATATAGTGCAAAGCCTACTTGGTGTGAAAGTCATACATCTGAAAACATCCTCCATGTCATACACAAGGGGGTTTCAGTACCAAAACCTGATTTGACAGTTTCACTAATCAGAAGTGATGTTTTTTTCTGCAAAGGAACTTGAGATGGTACTATGAAGATGAGGTGTCGTGCCCAAAGGTTTGTCGTTTTTCTTTCTCAGTTTAGACCACAATAACACAGAACGAAACGGACGTCTCCAGGACCAGGCAGTGCAGAGTCTGGGAAAGTGTTCTCACAGGATGTAACACATACAGTGCTAATAACAGTGTGTAAGACAAAAGGAATCACCTGTGATCAACCGTGAGAATAAACACCCTGAGAAAATGTAAAAAAAATAATAATAATAATAATAATTTAAAGATATATTTTCTCTGGTCCACAACATTCACTCACTTCTGAAACTGATTTGTAGTCGTTACACCACATTTTATTCTGTACCTAACTTGAAAGCCCAGTCGAATTGCATGCTTCCAATGACTCATTTAATTACTAGACCTGGTATAAGAACACAGATCAGTTTGGCACAGGGCATAACCACAAACTGACTAAGGCAAAACAACAACGGCCTCCAACAACTGTTTTAAGACCTGAGCTATGAAAATACTAAATATCCTGCTCCTACTAATCTCCTTTGTATAAGTGCAGCATTTGAAATACCACCTACTCTAAACCTGACCGATAATGTTAACAAAAGCAAACTTTATATTAAAATGATTTTGCTAAAGCAGCCATGCCTTTTTAGATGGCTTTTACAAGTCTTTGATCTCTTTTATCATGGCTCATTTTTCACAGGAATTGTACCTGAGCGCTTCACATCACAAGTACAGGTGTAAATTACATGTACCAGGTAAGTTGCCAACATCAACAGTAATTTACTACATCAGAAAAGCCATAGGCCTACATATGGAGCTGGTTATGTGATGAAAATATTACGATGTATTAGTTTACAAATCAAGCACTATGATAAAAGTGTTTTGGGTAATATATTGTGCAAGGAACCACATAAAAATAAGTCTTGCAGCATGGCCATCACTTGTCTGCCCTTGTAATCATAATTTGTGTGAACAAGAATAAAAGTTGTTGGTGTTTTACTACCACTAGTGTTCATTTCAGCAGGAAACTGCAGTGTATGTACAGGTATGTTTTTGGAGTTTTGGAAAAATGTAGGTAGCTGTATGTTTTTCCAATGAGCCTATGTTGGTTTTTACTAGATTTGCCATTTGAGAGCTTTGTAATTAGTTGAATAAATACCAATGTTTTAAAAGTGCACTTTTAATAACATGTTTGTTTTGCTGACTTTTTAAATAATCATTACAACAGCCTCTCTGCTGCAGAACTTCATGTAATGTAACTGAGGGTTGTGCAACAACTTGATGTACTCTGATGTTTTTTTATATAGTTTATATATATGGTTAAGTTTTTATAGTAATTTTATCCCTTAACCGTTCATTGTAAAATTACTGTAACACATGGCTTATTTCTTTAGCAGACCAGCTATAGTAGTGGCTAAAGTTATATTTAAACACGTCAACCTTTAGCAAAGTACTGCTTGGTAACCAACAACAGAATTTAGCTTCACAAGTTAGAGGAAAGATAAATACATTATTTAGTTGTTTGGCCAGCAGTGAATTTTAAAGTAACTGAAATTCTACACTACCACACTATACATCAAAACACTTTCTAACCGCATTAGTCATGAAAGCATCCCTAATCACAAGACCTTGCTGTGAAGCCACCGTATCTACAACTAAAACTGAGATGTTTTTGGCGACTTAAAATTCCCCTGGAGTTCTAGGGGGCTTTTGGTGCAGTACAGGGAACTCTACTGCACAAAAGCAATAATAATGGTCAGTTTTCTTGACACATTAGAAATAACCGTATATTTTTAGTTGTAAAATTGAGTAGCACAGCAGTAATAAACCACTTCCTGTTTCTTGTTTGTGTTCTGTGCTGAGATTTGATGTAATGCTGATAAGGCATATGCTTGGATGTTTTTACTTGGCAATGAGTAATACGATTAGCATGTTAAGTTTGAAACAAACATAAGGTTAAACTGTTTACATAGCTTTCTCAGATATGCATGTCTCTCATTTCTAAGTTTCAATTTTCACAAGAACCCAACTAATATAACAGTATCTCGTTGCATGCAAGACATAGTATCTCGTATCATGTATCTCGTGTATCTCGTATAAGGATTTAACATCGTCTGCTGCTCAATATACAGCATTAAATTAGGCAAAATAAAGTTTGTTTCTACACCAGAAACACAAACTATCTATAATGCTTACATGAATACATCTTAAAATATACACCCACTTATCATTTGTCATAAACATCCTTTATTGTTATGAAAATACCATGAGCTGCATAAAAACATGTACAGAAAATACATTGTCACAATCATGTCTATTTGCTTTCATATTTCATGTGTAGAAAAAATCTCTCTTATTTTTTTTTTTCATACGGAAAGGCAGGAGATATGATCACATGATTGACAGATCTGAACGCGTTCTCAGAGATTGGCTGTGTCCGAAATGGCATACTTCCCTACTATATAGTAGGGGAAAAGCAGTAGGCGAGCGAATAAGTATGTCCGAATCCTTAGTATTCATAAAAGAGTAGGTGAGAATTACCTGGGTGACGTACTAATTCTCGTGAGATTCGGACGTGCATCTACTTAAAGTGCGTCCGAATATGCCTACTTATTAAGTCATTAATTTGTGTGGTGTACTGGCACTAAAAATAAGTAAAATAAATAAAACATAAATTCATATATTAAATCTATTATCTGTTTATTTTAACTCCGCCTCAGTCCTTAGACTGTTATTTCATGGCCAAAGTTCATTTTTGAGCTCAATATATAAATTACGATTAAAAAATAAATAAAAAAACAATGCTAAGACATTATAATGTAATATAATGTAAAGGAAACGGTGCTAAGGTTCGCTTCATTTGAACCAGATACTGAAGCAGTCACGTGGTTTTCAGGCGAATGACGCTTTGGACGTCATTGATCACATGCTTTTCTCAAAACAAATCAAGCTCCGATACAGTCTATTGATTCTAAAGCTTATTTATATTACATACGATCTGTATAAATTAACATTCATTTAAAATAAATGATTTATAATAACCGATAAACTAAAATTGCTTGTGTGTAATGGATTAATAATTATATAAATCATATAATTATCTAAATCATATAAAATAACTCTAAGTAATTATCATTAAAGCCAGACATTTTTTTTTTTGTACTAGTGACCTTTGATTTGGAGCAAGATAAACTGGGGGAGTGACTTTTTTGTGTCAGACATGTGTCACTTGGCTCACATCTGATTAGTCCAATTTCAGTTTGAGATCTCTAACTCAGAACATAACCTGCCCCGGAGCAGGTTAGCCGTGGAGTGTAAGTTACTATGGCAATGAACGCAGCTAAAAGCCAAGCCACTTTCATGGTACCTAAAACCCAGGATTGGTGCAAACTAAACTGAAACTTACCTGGCTAGCCAGCACATAATGCTTCATGGTACAGGTCCCAGGTTAGGTTACTTTGGTAACTTACAAAGAGGTTTAGTTTTGTCTTTTATTGGAACCGAAAACCCTGAGTTTCCCTTTTCTGGGGTTAACAAACTCTGAGTTTACAACAAAACTCGCTTTCTGGAATACACCCCAGGGGCCCGTTTCAATAAGGAGGTTCAACCAACTCTGAGTTAAAACTTGAACTCTGAGTTGACTTACTCTGAGATGGGAAACTCTGAGTTTTCGGTTTCAGAACAGCTGAATTTAGTTAGTTCAATCAACTCTGAGTAGGTTGACTCTAAGTTTAGCACGTGTACCACGACTATGAAAAGTCATGATCAATGGAGCTCCGACAGTGGCGGACTGGCCATCTGGAGCACCAGGAGTTTTCCCGGTGGGCCGCTGTACAATGTGGGCCGGTCCATTGCATAAATATATATACAGAATGAATTATAGTAAGTGTACGTAGACTATATCACTCCATTGGCCCAGACGAATGGCCCGCGCAGCCCATTTGAGTAAAAAATTCTAATTAATTTAGTGCTCTGGCTCAGTGCAGCAGCTCAAAAGTGCTTGTCAATGTCAAAATGTTTGAAATAGCCAATCAGAAAGTGTAGAAGGCGGGATTTACTGTTCACGGAGCTGAGATGCGTGCCACTTAAATGCGAGCTGACTCTGTGGTAAGATGTAAGCAGCTAAACATGACGAGACAATTCAGCAATATTTGCCAACTGTTTACGATATA